CACCACCCACCCCGGGGACAGGCACCCTTCACGAGGCTACAATGTCGCGGAGATCATAAATCAGAGAACGTGAGGGGCGCAGAGAGGCCGGTCTAACCTCCGGGCGACCTCCACCGCCCTTCTGTACGTGAGAGAAAGGGAGAAAGGGAGGGAGGGAGAGAGAGAGAGAGAGAGAGAGAGAGAGAGAGAGAGGGGGGGGGGGGCGCTGCTAAACACTTTCTTTGTCCGACGGTTATTGGATCGTTTCACACAGTACCGCTGAGTGATAAGGTGCATGATATTCTGCTGGTGTTGTACAATTTTTCGGCGGCGCAAAGAGGTATAGTGTAATGTGATGCATTCCCCTCGTCGCAAACAATAAGCAAAGCCTGGTCGATATCGGAGAGGAAGAGAGGGGAAAATGCTGTCGAGACTCGAGTCCCGACGAGTCTCCATCCATTATTGCCGACTCGATGACTAGCCTCGTGGATGATTTGGTGAGTCGGCGCTCGAGCTGTCCTATTACGTCCCCTCAGCACCGGACCCGACCCCCTATAACCGATGCAAGAAAGAGTCTCCGATATGCTCGCCTCGGCGCTGCAACTTGCATGAGAGTTCGGCGCTCCACTTGCATGGCTGGACAACGGCCGCGCCCCCAGGTCATGGCTCCAGGGAGGGGGGGGGGGTGATGGGTCAGTTTGGCACGCCCATCCCGTCCTGGCGTCTCCGGGGAGGGGGAGGGGGCAAGGGAGGGGGGCAACCCGCCCCGGCCCGCCGATCTCGTCCTAATACGATCACCCAACGTCTCGAGGGGCTCGTGGGCCGAGGCCGGCGTGGCCTTGGCGGCGATAAGCTGCTGTCCCCCCTCCTCGGTGATCGGTGGCGCGGGGGCGGCGCCAGGGCGGGGTGCAGCCTCCCCCTCCTCCTCCCCTGCTTCGAAGAGCCATGCTGATGAGCCTTATGACCGCCACCATCATCCTCATCACCAAGGCCGTCGCCAACACCACGCCGCCCCCAGTCCGGCGGACCAACCCCTCCCGCCACGCCGACGTCCTTTTGACGTCACTGCACCCCGCCGCAGGGCAGTGCTGCCAGTGCTGCTGCTGCGCCCGCGGTCCATCGCTGTTGCTCCTCCCGCCCCCTCCCCCCTCTCTCTCTCCCTCTCTCTGCTCTCACCTTGACATTTGCCCCTCGCCCTGCCTCGGTAATGCTACCTTGCCCTCTGATCCTCCCCCATCAGGCACCGAGTGGGTCCTCGCTGCTCTCGGCCCGGCTCTTTCGCTGCGCGTCACGGTAACACGACGGCGGCACGGACGGAGAGAGACAGAGAGAAGGAGAGGGGGAGAACACATCCACCCCCTGCCCCTGTCCTCTCCGCCCCCGGCCTCCCCCATCCCCACGCAGAGCGCCGGGGCGCAAAAGGGTCGCCTTACGCTTACGCCGAGCTCAAGGATACAAGTCGTTTAAAAAAAACGGGGTGGAGAAGGCATGGGCACGGGTACAGACACCTTTTGACCTCTGTGTCGTTGAAAGTGTAAATTACTGTCGATCACAAGGGAAAGGGATCGAAGCTACCCTCCGCGTGTTACTGATACGTAACCGGCTCGCTTCCCGTCATGAAACGCCGATAACTCAAATAGCCATGTGACAACAACGCGATCTCAGAGGCAAAAAGGTGAGAAAAAATATCTTTTTTAGTACAACCCTTTTCTTTGATTACATAGAGCTCAATTGTAAACCTAGTTTAATTGTTTTCCTCGGAGTTAAAATTGTTTCACTGACGTCTGACGTACGCGTGCGACGTTAACTATTTCTGATTGACACAATTAAGGGCGAGAGGGGCAGTGGGGCGCGGAGGGCGCCCCCGCAGCGCCAACGCCAACCTCCGGTTTGAGATGATTATGTAAATGGAGAGCAGGCCAAGTATTTGCTTGAATTTCGCGCGCCGCCAGAGCCACACTGCTGCAGAGGCAAGCGGTCCGTAGGGTCGCCAGTTGGCGCCGTGACCTTGGCGCCCTCTGAGACATCACCACGGGTGGCGCCGGCAGCCTTACGTGCGTGCCTCCAAGGGCGCCGCGGCCATGGGCGTGGTGGGGCGTGGCGGGGCGTGGCGGGGCGTGGCGGGCAGGGGGCAGGGACGAGTAAACACAACAATCAGCCTGCGCACCAGGAGCAGCCCGTGGCGTTGGCGTGGGCGGGGGTGCGAAGCGGATCTTTACGAGACAAAGCTGCTCACGTTTCGTTTCGTGTGGCCCGCACTGTCTTTATTTCCCTCGTCTCCTCTTTGAAACCCCTCGCCGCGCCTCCGCAGTGACATCGAGAGTCGCGATAGAGCAAACACGCCGAAGGGCCTCCAACCCAATCTATTTCACGAGGACGAGCGAGGGGTTGTGGTACCCTTCTGCTCCCCCTGCTCCCGCTGGTACCCGCGCAGCGACCTTCGGACGCCCCCGCGCCGCCGACGGCCGAGGGGCACTCCCCCCTCCGATGGGATCCTTGCGCCCTTGTCGAGTCACCCTACTCACCCCATTTATGGAAACAGGCGCAATCGGGTACATGAGCCGCCCCCGCCCCTTTCTCTCTCTTCTCCGCATATCTCTCTTTCTCTCTCACAACACTGCATCTACCTCTCCCGTCCTCTGCGATCTCCAAAAGAAAACTCAATATTCCACAACTGGACCGGCAAGTGCAGAGTGATGTGTTTCGCCAAAAAGTGACGAAATTCTTCGATGCCCAATTTAGAGCGATGTCCGTTTTTGTCGCTCTTGTCACCTATGGAAATATCACTCTAGGTATACGCGTGATGGTTTTTGGATCATCGGCTCCATGTGAGCGACGGTATTCATTCAATTAAAGCAATGCTCCAAAATAATCACTCAGATAAAGTGACAAAAGCAAGCAGCAAGCGTCGCTCTTTACACTGGTAAAACAAGTGAGCACAATTTGCAAAATCAAATATCCAACATCGTTCTGGCCTGGCAGCATAGATGGATGGCGATGACATCACGGTCTTGCTAAAGAGAGGTAATTTTGAGCGTTGACCCCGGCGAGCGAGTTTCTTGGCCCCCGCGCTAGAACCGCGATGACGCCTAGGTTTATCACGTGGCCCTCGTACAACGCTCTCCCCTCACCCATCTCTCTCTCTCTCTCTCTCTCTCTCTCTCTCTCTCTCTCTCTCTCTCTCTCTCTCTCTCTCGAGCATTCCGCACCGGTCATAGTCCTCCCGCGGGGGCAACGTCGCGTAGACGGGCGGGCAATCTTCTCTTCGCTACTCCTTCGGGATGGCAAGAGAGGCATATTTTTTCTTCCACACCCTAGTCCATCAGTGAACACAAAACATTTCTGTCTTTTCACGACAGAAGAAGACAAGTGATGTTCAAACGATAGACAAACGTTGCATGAGGTCAAAAAACGGTCGTATACGGTTCTTGTTTGAATAAATTCTCTTCAGAGCAGAATATTATCAGCTCCTACCGATGTAGCAATGACCGCGCCCGTGTCGTGCCCCGGTACGTTTGGCTTGGCCCTTACCCCAGCAAAATTCAAATGGAAACGTTATCGTTTCGACGTCGACATTACGATTTCAACGTCGTTTCGACAACGTTTCGATGTCGATCCGACTATTCAACTGCCGTCTCTCACTGGGTAGCGATGCCGTGTGCTCGTGGCGCGGGACCAGCCCAACGGAGAAAGTGATTCAGGGAAGTTCAAGGTTACCTTCCGCACGCACGTGTGTACCCCGTCCCTCCCCTCCCCTTCTAGGTCCTAGCGCCCTTTCTTTCTTCCCATCCTTCGCCCACACTGATATCCTGTTTCGGGGGGCCACCTAAGCCCCGCCTCTCCCCTCGCACTTACGATCCAACAACGCACCCCCCGAGCACCCCGAGCGCACTCCTAACACATATGTAGAATTCCATGTCTCTGCGGCGCAGCGTCTTGCTGAACGCTGCCAACACGGATGTAAACGGTTTTAGACATGTGACAGTCCGCTGTCTATTCGATGGTAAAGATTCCTAGACTGCTGCTGCACGGAGAGATATAGCCGTGGACATATGAACTATGACGTCTTACCAGACGGATAAAAAGTCAATAAGAAATTTCGATAAACTTCCATGCACTTCGATCAAATTTCATTAATTTTAAGATTGCAAGATTGCAGAATGTGGAATTGATCTTAAATCAATTGATTTCGCCTCGCATTCTTATCAGCGCCTGGTAATATCATGGACGATGTGACGTT